CCATTTTGTTATTTTATATTATTTAACATATCTCGGTGATCTGCCGCGCAGCATGGCAGACAACGTATGATTTTGTCAAAATCAATCGTGTTTTTTCTTCTTCTTTTTTCCCTTTCTTTCTGTATGGATTTTGTTCGCTCTTTATCTCATGAATGGCATAGTTCATGACGATGACATGTTCATAACATGTGCCCTATGCATGATTATTGATCCTAACGAAGATATTTTTTGATTACAGATACGTGACGTCATCTATATAGGCGTAATTTTGTTAGTTTCTAATATTGACCATAATTCCGTCATACATTGTCGTTTCTGAATAAACTTGACGTCATGGGTAATCTTTTGGTCACACCCACTTTCGGGCGTGCTTCACGGCGGACGCGTATAGCGACAACATTTCAAATTGGTCCAATTGGTTATTGGACCAATTTATTTACTACACGTTTTCAGACCTTTTTGATCATTTGAAAATTTGCGCGTGTTGCTGATACCATTTTTAACAATTGGAAATCACTTTTAGCCATTATTGACTTAGATTTAGCTCATGGACATTCGTTAAACCTCAAAAATTATTGATGCACGCGCGCATATATAACCCCCAATTTTGTTTTCACATTATTATAGGGTATGATTTGGAGATGCGATTTCATGTATTACGTTTGTTGTTAGAGATATTCATCTTGTCAAGTTGACTTAATATTCATATCATGTCGACATGTAAAAATATTTAACTTACCATGTCGACTTATCAACTTTTATTAGTCGACATGGCGAAATAAATTATGTTGCCAAGTCGACTTCACAAAAAGTTCATGTCGTCATGGCGACATAAGTTATCTTGCCAAGTTGACTTCGCATAAAGTTCATGTCGTCATGGCAACATGAATTATCTTGCCAAGTCGACTTCTCAGAAAGTATGTCGTCATGATGACATGAACTTTTTGTGAAGTCGACTTGGCAAGATAATTTATTGTAAGGGGGAGTATTCTTCCGCCCCCTCCACTTTTTACGACTGAAAACACCCTTATTTTGTGCATTTCCTTAGGAAATATGCCCCATTTTCTTTTCACCATAACATTTTGTCCTACTTTAAAGCCGTCGCTCGCATTTTAAGTTAATATAATTTGGTTTCTTATTAGTCTTTCTGTCTTTCATTATTAGGATTGTAATAAGATGTAATATTGCGCACTGCGACTTCACAAATCGTAAAATCTGAATAATATTCAGACCATCACGCCCCAATTGCAAAGTTTCTTGAAATGATTGTCATTAAATGCAAAAATATAAGGCTGATATTGCACCAGAGAGCATCTAGAATCTGAGAGCTTCCAGGGCCCTTGATTTTCAGGGTGAGTGATTTAGCCCCCCCCCCCCCCCCCCCATTAAAAAAAAAAGCTTCCTACGCCTATGAGTACAGGCCACCGTCAGGTGTATTTTCGTACTGTTGAGAAGCAGTGCAGCTGTATGTACAATGTCTGATAAAAGTACTGTTAACTGCGAGCGAGTAAGACGTTGTACGATCAGTCATTCGACGGAGGCGTACATGTAAGTAATCGTTGCATGTATCACCACGTTTACTTATACATAATAGGTTACTCTACTGCGAACTGGAAGGAACACACCTATATTCCAATAATATCTTCAGGTGGAGAAGGAAGACAATTTCTAGAGAATGGTTTGATTTTTGGCAACAATATTTTTTGACACTGGGTATGATAGACATATAATATGATTTGACCACATCGCCGGATTATGCAAATACATGTTCATCGCATTCTGTTAATGGTACCGTCTGATGTCCGAAACAGTCAAAATAAGACACGATTCTTCTTTGGAATAACGTTAAACTAGGAATAATAACGCCACGAAGATAATTATGGGGCTCGGTGGAGACGGCGATAACCCTGCGGATACGCCCGAAGAAACGGCAGAAAATGCGACAGAAAATGACACCGGTGACCCGTCCTCGACGTCGGGGAAAGAAAAGACGACAGCGGGTTCAGACACCCGATCGATGAGGTATTGTTGTTGTTTTATTCTCTATTTGGTGAGTCGATCTCGATCGAAGAATGCTGCAATCATCAGTTCTGTAATGCAATAATATCACTGTGTATGCATATAATTAATATATAGAAGAAAGTATATACTGAGTTCTTGTTTGTCTTGTTGAATATCATGTACCTGTTATGTATATACATGTAATTTGGCCATTTAGCTGGTGTGTGTTCTAATCAGTTTGACCGGTCAAACTTATTAGAACACACACCAGCTAAATGGCCCAATTTTATTTCATCTTTTAATCAATATTAGTTTTGGCATATATTTATCCACAACTTTTACTTATTTCGTTGCGTATATTGTGAAACTGCCTGGTTATTGCCATGTCCATATTTAGTAAATTATACTTGCTCTGATTTGTTTGCCACCATAATACAATCACGTTTATTTATCATCTAAAACGTTATTAGGCATTAGGCCTACATGAGTCATACATTTTGAGAAAAGTGACATTGAGTAATGTTCCGTGTAGGAAAAAAATGACAAATTCTCCGGCATTACTTCACAGTGATATTACCGATTCAGCCATTGAAGTTTACATACATAATGATTATAACTGTCATAAATTCATAACTTTATCATCATTCAGTCTGGTTTCATTCAAACTGTCACCTTATTGATGCTTCCCTTTAGAGTCGTTTGATATAAAGTTTGGATTTCCCTTTAGTCAGATATTGCATATGCCAACATATACGCGTTAAGAGATAATAATTAACGGTGCCACTTCATAATGAACTCGATACAAACTCCAATGTCCAACTATTTATCAGATTGACTTTGGTATTTTATCAATTCATATAGTAAATACATGGATATCGAGACGACCGGCGTAATTCCATACGGAGGGGGGGGGGGGGGGGGGGGGGGGGGGGGGGGGGGGGGGGGGCGGGGGGGGGGGTGGGGTGAGGGTATACACCCCGCTCTTTTTTAGATTGAAGTAGCCTGTACAACTACATTTCCACTTTTCAAGAAGAAAAAAGAATATAAAAGATGTTGACAATTTCGAATGGACTAATATCAGTAACTCTTATAAAAGTGACACTTTCTCTTTGAAATTATATAAAAATATCAGAAACAGGTGTAGATCACGTCCTGAAATAATCTTAGAGGGGCGGGGGAAGTGTTCTCGTCCCCTATTGCTGTCATCTGTTGAGTCTCTACACATTAACAAATCGAAATTGTTTTATATTATGTAATTAGTAATTTAATTCAATAATCAATTAATTAAGTAATTTATTAATCTATGTATTCATTTAAATATCTATTTATTTATGTATCTATCAATCAATATTAGTCTGTTTATTTCTTCATTTCCCTTTTTATTCATTAATATTTCTAAATGTCATTTGCAGTGTATCTGGGGAATCGCTTTACGCACTACTCAACTTGAAGAGGGAGCATCGGAGGAAGAAATAAAAGATGCATATAAAAAGGTGAAGAAAAAAACCGAAAAATGGAGAGAGGGGAAGGAAGACAAAGAAGAAAGGGAGATATATATATATAGAGAGAGAGAGAGAGAGAGAGAGAGAGAGAGAGAGAGAGAGAGAGGGGAAAACGAGAAAAAAAGATAAGAAAGAGAGAATATATATATATATATATATATATATATATATATATATAACAGGAATAGCATAGAGAGAGACAAGACAGACATAGAGAGACAGAAAAGCAGAGAGAGAGAGAGAGACAGACAGAGAGACAGAGAAGCAGTGAGAGAGAGAGAGAGAGGGGGTAGGCTCATATACTCATTGGACATAAATGATATAGAAGAAGTGAGATATTTGTATTTGATTTGGTTGATTTATTTCTGTTTCATGGTAAGTTTGTACATTCTGTTTTATAGATTCAATGGTTTGGAAAGGGAGGGGCTCGTTAAAAAGCGATGCTTTATGATGCATGTAATAAAAGGGAGTTTTGGTTAAACAAATTACAACAATATTAAACAAAGAGAGAAAGAGAAGGTGATGGTGACACCGTCATAAGAAATGATAATATAATGGGAAAAGAAAGGATGATTAAAGTAGCCTACTTAATCCTAAATATCAAAATTATAAATAAACTAAAAAAAACTATTGTAGCCATGTCCCGGCTCTGTACTTTTGACGAAACAAAGCCCAGAGCAATAATTAAAAAAAAAGAAAAAAGCATGCATGACAGGAGAATGCCTGGATCACCCCTGTTTCATAAAGATTGTTCATCAATAACAAATGCTAAATCAGATGCCACGATTTCAGTAGCTTATAACAATTATTACTGTAACTTGATTGTTATTGATAACAAGTTTGAGGAAACGGGGCCCAGATTTCAGAATTTTACTGTAAACTCTTAAAAGTACTGTGTAAAAAAACGTGCCATGAGGAATATGTATCAAACCAACTTTAGGCACTAACAAAAAAAAAGGTTAATATTTCACCCATTTTGAAGTGATTAACCTGTTTTTTTGTTTTTACTCGAATTGGACAATAAAACGAATCTTAAGTAGGATAAATAAAGAAAATTCCCAAAGTTGGTTGGAACCTTGTGCTGGGCAAATTTTAACCCCATATTTTAGGAGTGTATGATGGTCTTTGTCTCCCTTTCTTCCTTCACAGCAAGCATTGAGGTATGATCCAGATTGGAACAGGAACGACTCCACAGCAGATGATAAGGTACTCTGTCTGGCAGTGGCGTATAGCATGGGTGCAGCAGAGGAGGGGCGGGATTGATGAAATGCAAATCAAAAAGGCTACGAAAGGAGGGGTGAAAGGGGTGGGAGGATTCGTATGGTCCTCTTATCATGCACGCTCTGTTTTCTCCTCTCCTTTCCTTTCTCCATCCATCTTATTTTTTTGAAAGCCAGATGGAGGTGCAAAAGCAATGTTTGAAAACCATGAAATACTGCGATATGCTATTGCCATGGGAAGCGCAACATAGTTACAGCGTCTCTGATTTTTTTTATTTTGTTAAGATGGGGGGGGGGGGGGTGGTTATTCCTCATGGGATCCGTAGAATGGGTTTGGTTGAGACTATGGTTGGTGACAGAACTTTCGGGTTTCCCAAAAGGTATATAACTTGGGTTATTATAGTGGTTATAATGTGTTTAGGATACAAAATTATGTTTTATATGGAAAACCCTTCACTCGAGTCGTAAGCCTCGTCGATGCAGTTGCCAAAAAAAAAAGATACAAAAAGAAACGGCAGAGGAACGTCTTCATATTTGTTTTATTTAATTTTTTCTTATTTGTTTTAAAGGTCAATTTTGTATTACGCTGTTTTCCGCGAAACAACTCAATCTGTCATACTCCTTGTAAGCTTGATGCGTTTATTTTTGTGTGTGCTTTTCGCAAGTCAAGGGTGATTGAACTATTTAGTGATTGAACTGATTGAACTATTTAGGACCTTCGTTGACTACTTTAAGATGTAAGCTTTAATATGTCATATTCTCATGTAATATATTAGGCCTATATCGGGGACAAATCAATGTTCACATACTTAAATATTTACAAACTTCGTAAGGGTATGAATAAGTTAGTTTATGTCTCCCCTGCGTAGCAAAAAAGCGAGACATAGGCGCCGCTTTTCCGGTGACGGCGGCGACGGCGGTGACGGCGGCGACGGCGGTGACGGCGGTGACGGCGACGGCGGCGGCGTCAACATTTTTTTATGTTGATAATGATGTTGATGTTGATGTTTTTGATAATGTTCCAGTCTCAATTTTTCATCATACCGAATTGCGTAATGCAGGCGAGACCGCCGAGAGCGTTTCCTTATTCATCTAGACAGAATTGTAATTGAAGGATGCACTGTATGAAACAAAGTACATTATTAGATTTCGTGTTTCCACCATCTTCCTTTCAGTTTAAAGAGATTAACCGTGCACATAAAGTATTGACAGACGAGAAGAAGAGACAGATATATGACAAGTACGGATCATTTGGTCTCTTCATATCCGACACCGTCGGGGATGACAACATATGGTTCTACGTCATGTTGAACAGCAAATGCTTCGAGGTAATTATCGGTAGTGGGTGATGTGTAAACAGTATATGCGTGTGTGTGAAGAGAAGAGAGAGAGAGAGAGAGAGAGAGAGAGAGAAAGAGAGAGAGAGAGAGGGGTGAGTGAGAGAGACAGAGAAATAGAAAGAGAAACAAAATGGGACAGAAAGAGAAACAGAAGAGAGAGGAGAGATAGAGACAGACAGACAGAGATAGCTAAGCCTCTATTCATAGCCGACACATTCGACGATGAACCCGTCGACTACTGAATTATCTAATTCCCATAGACTTAACACGAGACACACCAGGTTCCAGTAAGCAATGGGTTAAAGTATGCTAACTCTACTTTATATTCAATAGCAAATGTTTCAAAGTAATTTTCAGGAGAGACAGAGAGAAATAAATAATTATTGATGGGGTAGGCAAATTTAAGAACGGGACATTTGGATATAAAATAATTATATTAACATAAATTATTTTAAACAATACAAGTAAGGGAGAGAAAGAGAGAGGAGGTAGAGAGAGAGAGAGGGAGAAAAAGACAGAGAGAAAGAGAGAGAGAGGGAAGGAGGAGAGAGAAAAAGACACAGAGAGAAAGAGAGAGAGAGAGAGAGAGAGAGAGAGGCGGTGGTGGGGTGGAAAATGTAATGTCGAGGATAAATCCAAATTGAAGATTTCAATTAAAGATGTTAACTTATGATCAGTTTTGACAAAACTGTAACGTTAACATTATCATTGAATACTTGTGTAAAAATAAAGAACAACAGAGATCAGGAGCATTAAGACTATCAGGGGGGGGGGAAGGCACATATTATTGGTATTGAAGTCACCTGTGATAATGCGGTAATTATTATGTGTATTTAAACAAAAACCTTTCATTGACATCTTTCAACAGATCACAACAATAATATGCTTCCTTGCGACGGGTTGCTGTTTTTGTTGCTGTTGTTTTTGTGGATGCTTTGGGCTGTGCAGTGAATGTCAACCAAAATCAGATGAGGAAGATGGTGATCTCACCGACATAGAAGGCGGAGTATGTTTCATTTACCTATTTACGTATTTATTTGTTGCTTTATAATCATATTAAATAATCCATTCATTCATTCATTCATGTAATAATTTATTTATTTTTTCATTTACTTGAATACTTACCTATTTATTTATTTATCTATTCATTTATTTACTAATTAATTTTGCAATGACGATCTTCGTCATTTCATTGTTTTCGTTCACATTCTGCCCTATAAATATTCTTCTTCTTCTTCTTATCGTCCGGAAATCTCTTTCGTTTTGCACGTAGTGCTTCTTATACCTATCTAGGTTCTTTTCTCTTGTCCTTTTCCTTTCAAATGTCGTACCCATAGTTTCTAGCATCTCTTCAAGGTCACTACATTCTTCGATTTTCGAAATCACTCATGCATAATCGTCCAGGCGCCATTTTGTCCGGTTCTGGTCCGTTTTTTTTTAAAGGCCTTTCTTTCTTCTTTCCTATCTCCGCTATCCTAGATCCTACAGAGTTCTAACAAATTCCTCTAAATAGTCCAAGAGAATATGTTCTTTATCTGTGACGCATAACATACCCTTCAAAATGCCATCTCCGTACTGCAAATTCAAATCCGAAACCAACTCCGTGAAAAATCTCTAAAATTCTTGAAAAATGGACCCCTAAAACACTAAAATTGCTAGAAGTTTCTCATACCATATTGAGCCCTTTTTAGCCAAATACAAAATAATATACCCTAGCGCTGACCGACTTTGCGAAAATTTCCCCCCAAATATGCAGCTTTCAAGAAAAGTGCGAAATAACGTTAGCCTGCTCTACCTACGTCACAGACATGTATCCATATACGTCACAATCACAATTGTCTGCTAAGATGAGTGAAATTTGATGACGTCAGCGCAAAGTTATCGCCCAAAATGATGAATTTACTATGCATTACGTGACAGCCGGTGTTTTGCGTGCAGTACATTGAACGTAGATGACAATGGTGTCAAACTAAACCGCATTGAAGTGCTCTTCCGAATGATAACTAAAACGTTATCACAGAAATATTGGAGTACATCGCGTTTGAACAAGGGTCACTATTCGAATTCTGCTGAGTTTCTGCCCAATTATAACACATATCGGCTAAGACGTCATTTTTAAGACTGCTTTTCGCCCCCTTTCCGTTCTTTGTTTTCCTTGAAATCATGCAAGCGTATTCTTGGTGGCCAAATGCAGGCCTCACGAAGCCGGATTTTTAAAATCTGTCAAGGGGGTCATTTTTAGACGTCATTTTATACACTGTATGCTACGGAAGCGTTAAAGTGCCATTCTACTTGACGACATGACGAGATATTTCATCTTGTCAAGTCGACTTAATGTCCATAATCATGTCGACATGTAAAGATATTTAACCTACCATGTCGACTTATCAACTTTTATTAGTCGACATGGCGAAATAAATTATCTTGCCAAGTCGACTTCACAAAAAGTTCATGTCGTCATGGCGACAAAAGTTATCTTACCAAGTCGACTTCTAAAAAAATACATGTCGTCATGGCGACATTATCTTACCAAGTCGACTACCCAAAAAGTAATGTCGACATGGCGAAATAAATTATCTTGCCAAGTCGACTTCACAAAAAGTTCATGTCGTCATGGCGACAAAAGTTATCTTACCAAGTCGACTTCTAAAAAAATACATGTCGTCATGGCGACATTATCTTACCAAGTCGACTACCCAAAAAGTAATGTCGACATGGCGAAATAAATTATCTTGCCAAGTCGACTTCACAAAAAGTTCATGTCGTCATGGAGACATGTATTATTTTGCCAAGTCGACTTCACAAAAAAGTTCATCTCGTAATAGCGACATATATCTCACCAAGTCGACTTCCCAAAAAGTATATGTCGTCATGGCGAGATATGTAGTGTGACGACTATTTCATGCAGCGCGCGTACGTGTAGTTCATTCACAGTCGACTAGTCTAGGTCTAGTGACTTTAGTCCTGATCCCGGTCCCTCGATCGCCTCACGATCACCATTGATGGTGCATGCAAGATAACTTATGTCGCCATGACGACATGAACTTTTTGTGAAGTCGACTTGGCAACATAATTTATTTCGCCATGTCGACTAATAAAAGTTGATAAGTCGACATGGTAGGTTAAATATCTTTACATGTCGACATGATATGGATATTAAGTCGACTTGACAAGATGAAATATCTTGTCATGACGTCAAGTAGAATGGCACTTTAACGCTTCCGTAGTATGCAGCACGCGTTATCACCAATATTGTTCATCATGCACCCAAATCCCATTGGTTTTGCACGCAGTGCTCGCAAACGCAAACCCTTTCTAGGTCCCTTCCTCTATCCCAATTCATTTCAAAATTAGGCGTTAGTCTTTAGCATGCCATCAAGGTCGCTGTAATCTTCGTTCTCCGGAATCACCCATGCACAACCGTCCAGCCCCATTTTGTCCGTTTCGGGCCGTTTTTTGGTTAGGCCTTTCTTTCGCCCTACCTATCTCCAGTATCACAGAAGCTACAGACTTCGTACAAATTGCTCTGGATAGTCCGAGAGATGTTCTTTCGTTTGACAAGTAGAAACATGGCGTCATTGCACGCATATCGTTTTGACACGATTGCATTCCTAGTTTCTAATGTGTATTTGTTCCTTTTTAAAATATTTTTTTCGTCGATTGATTGAACATTTATTTACTTATTCATTCATTTATATATTTGTTATTTATCAATTACTTATCTTTATTAATTATTTCATGTGTACATGAAATGTAATGTGTATCTATTTTGTTTACTTATTTATTTATTTTCATGATCTATATATATATATATATATATATATTTATTTGTCTATAACACGATTGCATCTACTTCGAAAAATCAACCCACGGCCATTTCTATAGCATTGTTCGTCCCCTTTTTGAATATGGGAACATTACAATGACATACCGTAATCTGAACATGGTTTATATGGAAATAATTATAATAGGGCATTATAGGGTGGGAGAGGGCGCCCTGTCCTAATTTTTTCACGTCTTGCCCCCCGCCCCCCCCCCCCCCCCCCCCCGCCACTCCGGGGTCGGAATGACCCCATGCGTGTTACCAAAATGTCCGGTAAAGGAGTACTTTTCGTGCGACAAAGTCCGGCCCGAGAATTGTAAAAAAAAGGGGTGTATTAACTTTTCACCCGGAGATTTCTTTAAAAGGGGGTGTTTTTTTCTCTTTTTTTCTCTCTCGTCTTTTTAGACTCCTGAGAAATTATTCCGAGTTAGGGGGGTACATTGAGCATTTTTTATGATTTAGGGGGGTCTCCAAGGCAGGAAAAGCCCGCAAAAAGCCCGCGAAAGGGGGGTTCGGAAATGTTGGCAGTCCTCAGATAGGGGGTGCTTTCAAAAAGAGGGAACGAGCATAATTATGCGTACCCTAAATAACACTGAGTGGGGGGGGGGGGGCGGGGTCTTCCCCCTCTCCTTTTCTATTTTCCCATTTTAATTTGGCATTTATAATGTTCACCATTTAAATGGAGAGGAGAAGGTGGGGGGGGGGGGGGCTTTATCCCCGTAATCCCGCAGGTATGCTGACTAATTAAAACAATCTTTGTTTCTTCTTCTTCAGAGAACTGGCGGAGGAGATAGTAGAGAGCCAGTGAGGAACCAACCCGAAGCCTCGGGCGTAAACAACGAAGTCTTTGCAATGCCCGAACCATAACTTGTATATGGAAATGTAAGCAGTCGACCAACAGCCCGTGAGGCCGACAGCCTACGAGACCGACGATATCCGTCTAATATGAACCCGATGGAAGGTTGTCAACAAACCATTGTTGGTATGTTGTCACGTGAGCTGTATCCAGTTTTAAAGACAATGATTTTTAAAGATTCTCAATACACTTAATTTGAACTAGTTTTAATATGCCATCGTTTAATGATGTTCGGATTCTTCAATACTATTATTTGCAATATTAGGACCCTTATAATAGCCAGACATCGCTTTGATGTGTTTTTCAATCTTTCGGTGAATGCGTACATATTAATATCCTTTCTGGTTCCTTTCGACACGTGCCCCATGCCGGGGGCCCCATCATCCCCATGCATTATTGATGGTAACACTGTTTAAATATCAACTATCATGGCAACATCACTCAAAAGCCAATCAATCAAGTTTTTTTTTCAACGGAAGTTGCCATTAATGGCAAAGCTACCATGAATATTATGCAACGGGCCCCCGGGACATTGTGAGTAGCAGATGGCAGTACATAGAATAATATAGACCTAATATATATTTTTTCCTCACTGACTGTGCTTCCATTTTTGTCTCAACTTTTCAATTATAGAGAATGAAAGGGTGAATAAGAATGATGTAGCAGGATGATAGGGCAAAACAAAGAAGAGAGAAAATATAACACGAGAAAGACAGAGAGAGAGAGAGAGAGAAAGAGATAATACACGAGAAAGATAATAAAGAGAGAGAGAGAAAAAAAAACACAACTAAGCACAACGATGAATTTACACGTATTTTATGATGTATAATGTAGTCCAAATATTAATGCTATCACTTGCATTTCATGAAATAAATAAATTTGATTTCTTTTACAAACCTAGTCGTTGACTATAAGGTTTGTATATAAAGAAATCAATTTAGTTTTTTATTTTTTTTTATTTGTATGCTCCAGAATATTGCACAGCTACTATGATGTATATAAACATAGATTATATTAGTATTTATACAGATTTCCGCTCACTTTGTTTTGGGATGAGGTATCAGCGCTCATTTCCATGATGGAGATACTTATTTTATGCAAACTTTACATTGTTATACCATGTAGTTCTGTCAAAAGTTTGTTCTCTTTTTCAAGTTATACAATTTTTCTAATGAAATTAGTAATTATCGTATTCAGCAGTAATAAATCATTTCATAATATTCTTAAGAAATAAACATGAATGCAATAATATTGTTTGTCAATACCTGTTCTTTGTATTGCATTTTCTTCCTACTTTATCGGGATAATGCAAAAGTAAATCAGGGTGGTTTATTTCAAGTTTATGATAACGCAAAGTCGGAAGTGTGAAAAGCCTATTACACACTCTACGATATTCCTGCATGCGACCTGATTTTTGATCAAATGTAAAACAATATTATATATGGAAATCTAAACAAACAGCATCTTCTTGACTTAGGTTCTAAACTAATCAACTAACTGATACGAATAAAAACAACCGGAATTTGGCGGTCGTAAAAATATACTGAGCACTAAAAATAAAATCCCTTGTTGTTTTTACACAACACCCCCGTCTTCCCCCTTAACCCCCCCCCCAAAAGGTAAAATTGTGGTTACCATCGGGTTTTTTTTGCCAGGAATGGGGTCCCCCCCCGCCCCAGCCCCCGCTCTCACAACCCCCTTTTTTTTTTACTCAACACCCCCCCCCCCCTGCCCCCTTAACCCCCCCGTCTACCATTGGTTTTATTTTTGCCAGGAATGGGGGCCCCAGCCCCGCTCTCAAATCTATTTTATTTTCTTTTACTCAACACCCCCCTCTTCCCCCTTAAACCCCCCCCCCCCCCCAAAAAAAGGGTACAAAAAGACCGGGCCAAAAAAGATAACATTGAACAACCAGCGATCTGACTGGCCCCCAGACGACAAGTCATCTACATTATTAATGTAGGTGAAAGAGTTATCGATATCTTTCGAAGATGTTGAAGTACTCGTAGTGCTATGTGGATCCGGACTCGGATGCTTTGGAGTTTCTTCTGTCGAAATTTCGTTCTATTATCCAAGAATCAGTAGCGTAAGTATATATATTCATATCTGTGAAACATATAGCTTCATAAGAGATAGAGGTCTAACCCAAATAGAATGATATAATGTTTAACATTCAATTTTGATTCAGGCATAAAAACTGCCCTGAGCTGCGCTAGCCTAGCGCTGTCCAACTACGTACGATGACGCCTTGGCCTATAAAACAGTGCCAGTGCAGTGCTAGTGCAGTGCACGCATGCATAGTTGACCTAGATCTACAGCCTCAATTATTTGTACCTGATTTGTACACAGCATTGTAGTGTGACCATAGTTCGCGCGTGACCTAAGTCCGCTATCTAAAAATCGGTAAGATTTCAAAATCTGATATCACCATTGGAAATAGGACATAGATCTACAATTTCCAGAGATGGAATTTTCTTTAGAATTGGGGGTGAAATAGACTCTATATTGCCTCGCAAATTATGAAATGACCTTATTTTTGATGGATCAAATTTTTTAATAAATCAGCTAGTACTAGTAGTAGACTACTATGAGTGTGAACCCCCGTGCGTGAACTAAGGTTAGGGTGGCTGATCGCGCACTTAGTTTCGTGTGCTAAATCCTTCCCATAGAGATTGCAAACATCCCTATTCAGTGTTTTTATTGCCAAAATGAGATTCAAACCAATACTGCTCGTGATTCTGAAGGTGATTGATAGGCAATATCATGAAAGAGGCCCCGCAACTTCTGGTTCTGGTTCTGGTTTTGGATTTTACTCCGACAAAGCGGGATCCCGCATCGCGTCAGAGGGCTGACCTGGGGGTTGACCTGGTGGAATTATTTCCGTTTGGTGTTTGTGAAAAAATCGCAGAGCCTTTTCTTAAAAATATCTATGTTTGGGGCGTCTAGGATGTCATGAGGCAGGTCGTTCCAGTATTTAACAGTCCATGGGAAGAAGCTATTTGAGTAAATTGTTGAGTTGGTTCTAGAGTCTAGGTCTCTGGAATCGATTACATATCATCTTAGACTTCTAACTTCAGTCTTCAGCCAACATTTTCATGACGGACAGCAATAAAAGGGATATAAAAGTGAGTTAAAAAGGGGCTTGAAAGGGACTTATTTGTTTATTAAAAATTAGGTGGAGGAAGAAAAAGGAAAAAAAAGGAAAAATATTTAACTTAAAGATAAATTTAAAGAGAGGGGGGGGGCCACAACAAATTTAAACTAGTTCTAGACTCTAGACCTAAAAGATAAATTTAAAGAGAGGGGGGCCAAAATTTAAAAAAGGAAAATATTTTTTAAAAAAAGGAAAATTATTTAAAAGGTAAAATATTAAAAAGGAAAAATATTAAAAATGTAAAAAATATTAAAATAGATCTAGATCTACATGTAATATATTCTAACTGGCATTTTCCTTTCTTTCCCTCAGGTAACGCCCTATTTCAAGTATTTGCCATCATGCCGTTACCAGCAGCAACTGATGATTATTCAGCCGTCCAGGCTTACTTCACAGCCAAGGAATGGGCAGAGATCAGTGACTATGAGAAACTTCGTCTCAAGAACATCAAAGAAAATTATGGATGATGATTGAAGTTGGTGAGTAACATTAATTATGTTACCTTCAAATCTTCCTTAAATAAACAACTCTAGTCTTATGATGTATGATGTAGGGATTTCTACCTTTGTTTGTACATGTTCACTGTAACAAGTCTAAGAAAGACTTTTTTAACATTTTGTTTAAATATTTGGTTTTATTTTTTGTATGCATAGGATACGGTGGATATGATGTTTAATGGCAAAAGAAAATTTGTTATTTTCTTCTGACAATTGTACATGGATTCATGAATGGCAAGTTAAATAAAGGAGTCTTTTCGTAAAACAGTTTCATATCAAGAAAGAAAAAGCAAAAGAAAATTGTCTCTTGAACTCAACGTGCAATTCAAAAATATAATGTACAGTTTGTGCAAAGAACGTAAAGAAAGTCTAAATGCTGCATTTTAACTGACATTGATTTCCCCCTCCAATACCCCCTACCCCTAATAATAGGAGAGAAAGTTTGATTATATAATTTGCATATTAACAGTGGTGTCATTTTATTTGATTTTCATTGTGTACACAGGACTAAAGGTTAGTCCCCCAGATTTCATGCGACCTCGTCGTGGAAGAAAGAAACAGCTTGTAGAGGAGAGTGATAGTGAGGATGAGGAGTGGAAGCCAAAGAGGGCCAAGAAAAAGTCAAGAGGTTTGTACCGATTTATCTGTCTGAATTATTCTCAAACAATCTCTGTACATTAGGAAATTGCACCTAAATTTCTTAAGATTGTAGAGAAGTAATACTAAAGATTAGGAAGTGTAAGCCCAAAAAGGCAAAGAAAAAGTTAAACAGGTATTGATGAACAAATATTTCAACAGATTTTTGTCTTAAGTCTATAACATTGTGAGAAAGGATTAATACTTGAATCTAACATTTTCATTCGATAGAACATTTTAGGCCTGATAATTCGACATTAATTTATCTGTTCCTCACTCTACACTAAAATCATTAACATGTTCTTGCATGAAATGAAGCAGAATGTAAGGGCCAGAAGATCAGTCTCGGACTGTTTACTGGCTCATGTTATGTACTGATGATGTGGAAGTTCTATTAACGAAACAGTCATTTTATTTTACTTTGTGCCCGAAGAAGTATCTTATCTTCACTATGCAAACAGGATCTTTTCACAACCTGTATTACGTCAACAGCTCTTTAACCATTCATTTTTTTTTTTTTTATGTTGTGGTGCTTAATGAGGATGAGTCGGTAGTGAAGACAAAACTTTCATTTTTATTTTGCCGTAAATAGAAATCCATGTGTATTTTGCTTTGCTATCCAATAAAGATTCAAATAAACAAATGAACATTTATTTCTTCCAAACAATACAATTTATAAGTAAGAACATAAATTAATTAAAGAACTTGTATTACAAGGAAGAAG